GCTGGAGAATCCAAGAAAGAGAAAAAAATTCACAATATTTTTCCATTCCCTTCGAACTCCCCCCTCCCAAAACTCCAAAGATCTCCTAAACAGCTGTTTAAGCACAATAAAAAACAGGAAAAGCTTTGTTGACTTCCTCATCTTCCTTCGGGGAGATGCTCTACCAAGAATAAGTACAGAAACTTTTCGGAAGATTTTTGCTGGGTGTTGTAAACCACGGACTTTTTTTGGGGGGGGGGGGGAGAAAGGCAGCCCCCAAAAGCATTAGAACAATCCGTTGAAACATCCAACATGGCAGCCACTTCCTAATTTATTTTGAGAGGGGGATTTTTTTGGAAGGCTGAATATTGCGTTTGCCCTGTCACTAATGCCGTGTTTCTCAACTTCTTGGTGGCTTGAAGACGGGTGGACTTTAACTCACAGAACCCCACTGGCAGCCTTGGCATGCTGGCTAAGGGATTCTGGGAGTTGAAGTCCACAGGTCGCAAAATTGTCACAGTTGCCTGCCTCAGTTTTATTTAACACGCTTGCTTCGACGTTCATCAGCCCAAATCCCTCAGAAATCTTAATTCAGAGTTAAGACTGGGCTGGGGAAATACCCAGAATTTCAAAATATCGTCTCCTTGTTCTGTGGCTTTTTCTCTGTGTCTTAAACTCCAGATATAACTGCCTTTAAGCAAAACCGATAGGGTTAAACTGAACCCGTTTTAAATCCCATCTACTGCAATGGCCAACCTCCATCTTCACTCCGAAGTGGTTTTAATATAATTCACCGATTAATCCAGCTTATCCAACTGGCGCCTCCAGACAAATGGAGGCAGCTGCCCAGTGGAAGGGCCGGGGGGGGGGGGGGGAAATGGTCGGCACAGGCTGGGATTTGGACACATCTTGCCTGTCCTGGTCTCAAAAGCCCTGCTGGGTCCCCCTCCTACTTTAAGGTACCCAAAGTGGTGCAGAACTGTGGGAAAGTGGGAAACTGGAAGTTGTTTTCAATGGGAAGCCAAGGACCAAAATCACAATCAAACGGCCAACATTTAGAGATGCCTTTTTAATAACAAGCATAATTTCCTTCCTAGATCAACATTTCTCAACCTTGGCCAGTGGAAGATTCATGGACTTCAACTCCCAGAATTCTCCAGTCAGAACGGCTGGCTGGGGAATTCTGGGAGTTGAAATCGACACACCTTAGAACACAGAATATCTATGGAGATTCTCAGTCATCCAGGTTTTTGGTTGTCCCAAAGGTGCTTTTTTCAAGAGGCAACTGGACTTTCTGGTTTTTCTTTGAAGACGTTTCGCTTCTCATCCAAGAAGCTTCTTCAGCTCTGACTGGATGGTTCCATTCCTTCCATTCCTCACGATCCAAGTCAGAGCCAAAGAAGCTTCTTGGATGAGAAGCGAAATGTCTTCAAATAAAAAACCAGAAAGTCCAATTGCCTCTTGAAAAAACACCTTTGGGATAGAACACAGATATAGGGTTCGAAGGGACCTTGGAGGTCTTCTAGTGCAACCCCCTGCTGGAGCGAAAGACTCTATACTATTTTGGACAAATTTTGGTCAAATATATGTCTTCAGTTTCCAGTGATGGAGCATCCACAACTTCTGAAGGCAAGTTGTTCCGCTGATTTGGTAATCTTCAAATGGAGAAGGTTGAGAAATATCCTAGGTTTTGCTGGGTTTGGCCTTGAATTAATCTTTCTTTCTTCCTTCCTTCCCTTTCTCTCTCTTCATTTTCTTTCTTTCTCTCTCTCTCTCTTTCTTTTCTTTCTTGATTAGCCCTTGGGCCATATCAAAGTGCAAATTCCAGAAATAAATTATTACTAAACTTTGATAAAATTAGAAGCTAACCCAATGCTCAAAATAAGTCACCAAGATTGCAGCTCATCAAGCCTGCAGAATCCAGTCCAGGCTGTTGTGCTGCATTTGCACAACACACACATTGCTTTTCACTCTACTGGCTTCACACCTGCTGTCAGAGCTCAACTTACAGCTACAGGCAGGTTTCTTGGGGGAGGGGGAGATAGGAATAAAATTGGGGGCGAACCTCCTCTTTTTAGTATTTCTGGCCTGGGGACGCATGAGAAATCCCTCCATGGCCAAACGGACAACTGGCAACGGTTTGATTCACCTAAAAGGGGAGCGAGAAAAATAGGATTGGTTATCTCCACTGGGTCCTTTGCCCCAAAGTCGAGAGAAGTCCGACTCAAAATGTGGTGGTGGGTCCCCAAATTGTTCATTGGCAACGAGATTCAAGGCTTTGGAGATTTTTCGAGCAATCTGACATCCGTTGCAACATCCAGACGCTGCCCGGGTGTAATTTATGTCTGCAGAGTCTAATAGTAATTGTGGGCTTGTATTTTGCATTTTCTCCCCATCTCAGTTTGCTATTGGTCCATTTTTATGGCATTTTACAAAAGTATTGGCCTGCGACAGATTGGAAATTACAAAAACTAAACCAACCCTGGTTCTTCATCATGGATAGCTTGAGAAACTCTGGTCTAGAATAGCAATTCTTTCCTTCCCTGGCCTGGAACAAACACCGTTGAAAGCTTTCCTGGAGGGACATTTTGATCGGCACCGGAGTGGAAAACTGTGCCAAGAAGCTCCCATTTTTCCTGAATCCCACTGAGTTGGGGGGGGGGGATAGGGGCCTCTTGGTCTGCACCCCACAATAAGGGCCAGATCCACTGTGTCCTGCCAGGATAGGGGTAGCCCATGAAGCAGCCATGCTTCCCAACAGCTCACTAAACCACAAAACAACCAGAGATTTCTCTCTAGCTTGTCTAAATGCAGCTGCCCCAGAACCGCCTTGGCACCCAGGATGCATGGAGCCCCTGACTGGCTTCGCCGTAGTTTTTGGGGTGGGAGGAAGGGGGGGTTCCATGAAATCACCCTCCTTTCTTGGAGCTGCCACAGGCTGTGCCTTATGGGCAGGGCAGAGCTGACCCTCCAGATTCTCCAGGCGGGCAAGGAGGAAAGCTGGCAACTTTGGGAGGGCGTCGGTCTGTTTTGAATCCCTCTTTGCTGCCTGGAAGAGTCCCAGAGCCAAATCTGCTGCCCCAGATGCCACTTTCAGCCTCAAAAAGACCCCTGGGCCTCCTCCCAAACTTCTCCCCCTTCCCACAACCTCAGCCTCGTTTTCCCACTGTTTGCCCATTGACGATCAATCGGTGTGAACTGCAGGAAACAGAGCAATCCTTGCCTGGCACACCAAAGGCCCAGCCTAACCTCTGGAGAGGCCAACAAGGGCTGGGGAGGGGGGATTTGAACCCCTAACCCTTTCAAAGATCTAGGTGACTCCATCCATCTTCCCCTCTTTATTTGTGGTCCTCCCCCCTCCCTCTGCTCCCCCATTCCCCCCAAAGCCCCCTCGTTTCAACTCTTGATAGCTTACGCATACTGCACTCTGTGTATCTCATAGACCTTTATAAAGCTATTTATCACACTATATTGATGTTTCTCAACTTCAGCCATTTCAAGAAGGAGTTGGACTTCAACTCCCGGAATTCCTGGCTGGGAATTCTGGGAGTTAAAGTCCAACCCCCCCCTCTTAAAATGGCTACGATTCAGAAACACCGCTCTCTCTGTACATATATAACGACGTATTTATAGATAGATCTCTGATCTATGGCTTTCTCTTCGCGTTGGCTGCCTGTTGAGGTTACTCTACATTTTGGCAGAACCAGGAAGTCGGCTCCAGTTGAGGGACCCTACCCCAAATCATACCTCTGCCCCCAACCGGCCTTTGGGGAACATCCGTGGCGTCACCAATGCACAACCGCTTTGCTCCACGTCGGGTCTCCAGGCACTCTTGCGTCCTTCCTCGGCCCCTGCCCCCCCCATCCCGCAGCCCCCCACTTCGGCTTTCACAAAAGCAAAACAAAGTTTAACCAAATAATAATAATAATAATAACAACTCGTGATCTGACATGCTCGTTTCTTTTTAACACCGTTTTGGAAAGAAAGGAACACAATATAGCACCTTGTTTTTGAAGGGAGACCTAGGAAGGACGGCGGTGGGAGGCATGGCAGATGGTGGGAGTGTGGGCCGAGCCAGAAAAACTCCGGGCAACGTCGGCCCCGCTCGGCTGCGGGGGGACACCCACCACCCCAACTTGGTTCACAATGGCATCGAATTATGGGTGTCAAACCTATTAGAAAACCCCCCACCTTCTAAAAAAAAACACAACAACAGTGTGATTCGGAACTTCCACCCCCCCGTTTTGGGATGCGTCTGGTTAGCATTTGGGAATTGGGAGCGTCCCCCTGTGGAGAGGTTGGGTGCCCTGCCTCTTCTCTTGGCATTTCTCGGCTGCCCTCCCAGAAAGCCAAATCTTAAAGGGCGAGAGGAGGGCTGGTGGGTGGGGGGCAGGACAGGGGTTAAACCAGGAGACAATGTGAAGAGGGAGGACAGGGTTTGGGGGGGGTCTCTGTGTCACCTTCCTCCCTCGGCCAGTCTAGGGGGTCAAGCCTGGCGCTGGCCAAGGATTCCTCTCAGAGCAGCTGGCAGCGTGGTTGGGGTACGGCCAGAGGGAGGGAGCCCCATTGTTCCCACCTCCATCGAAGGCCCAAACCCTGCCGAGGGTCGGGTGGGAGAGGGCACCACGATCCGCTTGCCTGCTTGGGGCTGGCCACGCATCATCTGCAGTCCCACCTGGCGGGGGAGGGGCTGTGTTTCTGTGGATCGCCCCCCCCAAACCCCTTTTTAATCCTCCTCCTCCTCTTCGTGTGGTCCAGGCACCCTCCATCCCTCTTCCGGGGCAAAAGGCAGCCCTAATTCAACCTCTTGCCTTTAAGTCTGCCTGGGGGGGGGGGCTGTGGGGGAGGGGGGAGAACGAAAACGACAATCCTGCAGGGTTGGAAGGTCAGGGTGGAAGGAGTGGAGCCCCCCCCCCTGCAAACTTCTCACCTCCGTGTTTCTTTCTCTCTTTCCAGTTGTTTGTTTGGGGGGGGTGTCTTTTTGTGAGGGGGGAGCGTAAAAGGAGAACGAGATGAGCGAACCAAAGACGGGGCGACGGGGGGGGGGGAGGGCGTTAGGAGCAGCGGCTGCCTCCCCCGGAGGAGGCATTTGGGGAGGTCTCCTCTCCAGAAAGTTTTTTTTGGGGGGTGGGGTCGGGGTGGGAAATGCATGTCTGGATAGTCCCGCTGCGCACTTCCTTCGGGCGTTGGGTCTCTCTCTGGTGCACGCAGGGATTTTGAGGGGGGTTGGCTAGGACGGGCGGGGGGGCCTCAGACATAATATTCCTTGTCTTTGTTTTTCTTGCTTTTACTGGCCGTTTTGGGGGCCGCGGCTGTCTTCTCCTTCACCACCGTGCCGTTGCTCTGCGCCGAGTTACTGATGTAGTTGCGGCTCTGGTCCACCTGGTAGGAGCCCTCGTCCCGGTTGCGGTACTTGTACATGGCGTAGAGGAGGATGAGGATGCAGAGGGCGGCGGCCGCGACGATGCCCACCACCATGCCGGTGGTGCTGCTGGACTCCCGGATGACCTCCACGGCGCCGGGGGGACCCCTCTCCCCGGGGTCGGTGGGGTTAGCTGTGGGCAGATTGTGGAAATCGGGGGAAGAGGTTATAACGGGGTATTTGGGGCGGTTGAGCTTGTCCGGCTCGAAGGAGGTGGCCAGAGGGGGGAAGTGTTCGGGGTGGGGCCGCAGGGGCTCGCGGTTGTTCATTTTGCCTGCGGGGATGCGGTGGAGCAGGGTGGGAGAAGTGGTCGAGGCCAGGAGGTCTGGGCCGGAGGGCGAAGCCGGCAATCCTGTCCTAAGGTTGGGGCGGTAGCCGTGGGGCTTTTTGCCGGCTCCTCCATCGGGCCGGCCCATCGGGGTCCTATCAGTGATCAGGGGGAAGGTGGTGTAAAAATCTTCGTCGTCGGTGGGGGGCAGGCTGGAGTCGAAGACCTCGCCGGAGGCGTACCCCGAGGCCTCGATGCCCTCTTCGCAGTCGACGTCGTCTTGGTCTGTCAGGCAGGGGGGCTTCGGCTGAGCCGGGAGGGAGATGGTGTCTTTGGTGGTCTCGATTACGGTTAGGAAGGGGCCAAAGGTGGGAGGCAGGGGGATAAAAGGAGAGCGCGTGGCGATTGGAGGGGTGTCTAGAGAGTCTTCGGTTATTATGGGCAAGACTAATTCACCTCCTAGAACAGAGAGAAAAGGGGGAGAGAAGAGAGGGGAGAAGGGTCAGCCACGCCGCCTGGGGTCCCCCCCACGTCCACACAAGACAGCGCCAACCACGAGAATTAGCTAGCCAAACCCCACTGACTCCGGTCCCTGGCAACTTCCCTTTTTTTTTTTTTGTCTAGAGAAATCATAATCAAAGGAGAAAAAAAAAGATAATTAAAAAAGGCATTTAAATCCATAAAAAAAGAAAAAGAAAGAAAAAAAATTAAAACAGATAAAACAGCAGAATTAAGAGCAGTAACACTTTCTCTGGCTGATTTCTCTTCCCATCCTCTTCAGGCTAAAACACTCAAATATTCTTTCTCTCTCTCTCTCTCTTTCTTTTTTCCTTATTTTTTTCCCTTTCTGTTTGTTTTGTTTTTTTTAAAAAAAATAAGAGAGCAAACCACGGAATTCAGTCAACTTACATCAACAAATAGGCCGTGTGATATTAGCATGAAGAAAAAAAATTACAAAAAAGAAAACTAGGTAAGAATGTTTTTTGGAGAAAAATCAACTTTTTTTTTTCTTTTCGTTTCTTTTAAACAACTCTCTCTCTGCATCTTGCCTTTATTTTTTTTAATTTTTAATTTTATTTTGCTTTCTTCCGAGATTCATTTCTCTTGCTTGGTTTTTCATAATGGCACCCCCTTTGCCACTTCCCTCCTCCCATGTGGGGACAAAAGAATCCCCCTGGATTTGTTGCACCCCAAAATCCCTATCACCCACTTCCATGTTCCCAAAACTAACATCATCGGGGACTTTCAAATCCATTTTTAAAGCTCTTTGCAAATTTGAGGATTTTAGATATAAATCAAGGCAAAATTATGACTTTGTCCAGAGAACTGTCCAGAGCACAGCCCCGCCTTCTCTCTCTATTCTTTTCCTTCCCCTTTTTTCCAAATTGATCCTGGATTTGATCTTCCTGGCATTGTGCAAAATGGGATGAAAGTGGGTGGTTGGGGATGGGGTGTTTGTTTTTTCTCCCAAGGAGGGGTGATCATAGTTTTTCCCTGCATTCCCACGGGATCCCCGGATAGGAAACCGATGACAGAGGTTTTAGTGAAGAACTATCTCCTCAATACAATTTAAAAACAAAACAAAAAACCAAAACAAAATGAAGTTAAAGAGGGAATCTGGGCTGAATCCATGCTTGTTGAGATGCAGAAAAGTGGATTTGAAGTGTGTGTGCATGTGTGTATGAGAAAGAGAGAGGGGGGGAGAGGAGAGGGGGAAGGAGAGAGAGAGAGAGAAAGTGGGGAGAGAAGAAAGCCCATCTTTTTAATGGAAAAACGAGGAAAAATCCTTGGAAAGTTGGAAAATTTTCTCAAGCTGCAGGGGCTTTGAATAGCATGTTGGAAAGAAAACAGGGGTGGGATATTTGAGGTCATTTTGTGGATAGTTCGTTGTATTTCAAAACCCCGTGGAGTGGGGGGAGTTAATAAATAAGAGCACAATTAGAACAATGTATCCAGTTTTATTGGATGCATCTAGATTTATCTGGCTATTTGATTGATAGATAGGTAGGTAGGTAGATAGGTAGGTAGGTAGATAGATAGATAGATAGATAGATAGATCTATATCTATCTATCTATCTATCTATCTATCTATCTATCTATCTATCTATCTATCTCAGCAACTTTAAGAGGGTTGGATGATAAATCTGGCTATTGCAAAAGCATTTCCACTTTCTGGTGGAGAGAGCCTGGATTATGATTATGCATAATTTTATTCCTTAGCTGAATTTGCACAGCGCTGTTTGCTTGGTTAATTATGTTAGGAGGTTAAACGGCATGGCTGTTCTAGGGGAAAGGGGGAAGGAGATGCAAACGTTCATAGGTTTATTCTGTGCTAGTATAAACTGTGTTTTTTTATCTTCGTCATGGGTATGTCACAGATACACAAATGCTTGGAAGCCCTTTGCACGTCGCACTCTGAACATTTTTAAGCAGGAAAAGATCAGAGCAAGAAAATTACTGGGCTGTGTCTGAACCTCTTTTGTGTTCCTAAAAGCAAGATCCGCACTGAAATATTCGGAGTAGCACGCTATAAGGAGAGTTTGAAGGCTGCATCTTAACCCTGAAACAGTAAACCAGCGCAGCACATTCGACAAGGCAAGCCAGCCTAAATCTGGCAGGATGTTTGAAAAGGTTTTAAAACGAATTATAATTATGCATAATTTTATTCCTTAGCTGAGTTTGCACAGCATCATTCGCCTGGTTAATTAAGTTAAAAGGTTAAATGGAATTAACCCATTTTTCCTTCTGCTTAAAAGCAGAAGCTAACCAAATAGTTCGGATTCATAAAACTTCAGGAATGTTACCCCCAAAGGTGCTTTTTTCAAGAGGCAACCGGACTTTCTGTTTTTTTTCTTTGAAGACGTTTCACTTCTTATCCAAGAAGCTTCTTCAGCTCTAGGTAACATCATCAGTGCGAATAGGGAGTGCAGTTTGCTGTCAGTTTATATTCAGTGGCTAGCCTGTCAGTGCGACAAGTGACAGAACATTGCACTGACTTGCACTGATGACGTTACCTAGTTTGGGCCACGAAACGTCTGCAAGAAAGCAAGCGAGCGCCGAGAGCACCCAGGACTACTCATTCTAGAATGTCTGCAGGGGAGAAATGCAGGAAGGCAGCTAGCACCAGCCAGGGGTGGGCTTCACATTTTCAAGCAAGGGGCTCTCTGACCTAATGACTGGCTGGGTGTGGTTAGGTAGTCATGTGATTGGGGGATCATGTGGGCGTGGCTGGGTGGGTGTGTCCAACTCCACGTCACTTCTTTGCCCTAATTACCTTAAAAAAAGATATATACCAAAAAGTTGTTTATTATTTTGTGCATTTAATACTTAAATAAAAGATTGGGTGAATCCAGGCTTACTAGCAGTGACTGAGAGAGGGATCTTGGAGTCTTACTGGAGTTTCTGGTGAGTTATGCGATTCTTATTATTTGGGAATTAATCCCCTCGGAGGCCAGTGGCTATGTGATCTGATTTTCTCAATTACTCTCCCTGGCAAGCGCTGAGTGGATTGTTTATCTAGCTTGCAACACTTTTACAAGTGTGAAATGCTCTTGGCTGAATGCCCAGAAGTTCAATTAAGCCTATTAAGAGCTTTCCCTGGCTGCTTGTCTTTCTGAGGTTATTGGGGGCTCTCCCGAGCCCCTGTGAGCCCCCAGCAGCCCACTCCTGGTACCAGCCCTTCCTTATAGGTTAGTCCAGGTGTCCCCAACTGCTGGTTCATGGGCCGGCATTGAGCTGTGGCATGCCAGAAAGCGGGCCATGCAAACAAGCAAAGCCGCTTCCAAGGAATGCAGGCAGCATGTGAAACCACGTTCCCACCGGTCCACTGAGAAACGTCTCTCCACAGAACCAGTCCCTGGTGCCTAAAAGGTCGGTGGCAGCTGGGCTAGAGAACTTCCATCAGCTCCAGCCAGGTGTGTTCAACCTATGTACTGTTGTGGCCCGCCAGAGGCCAGTAGAGCTGACGGCAGATGCGGACAGTGAGGAGGTTGGGGAGGAACATGGGCCAGTCCTGGAGTTGGCAGAAGGCTCTGATGAGGGTTCTGCATCGGAGGCAGAGATGGGGCCAGGACAGTCTGACAGTTATCAGTTGCCTTTGGAGTCGGAGATCAGTGGGGCAGAAGAACAGCTGGAGCCTGTTCCCAATGTGCGCATGCACAGAGCTGCCAGAAGAAGGGCACAGCTAAGGAACAAAGGTCAACTCAGGAGTAAAGGCACAGGTGGATGGTGAATGGCCCCTCCCATAGGGGATAAAGAGAAGTGAAAGGGGAGTTGGGTTTTGCAGGAGACAATTAGTTCAATTCATTGGGTTGAAGATCTGTTCCTGACTTCTTGCTAAGTAATTGCTGCTGCAGCTTGACGTTTGGAAGCTATCAGCCTGGCAACTCTCCAAGCCTGATAAGGTCTGTGATTGTAAATCACCCTTGAAAGACTGTTTGCCGGGACTTTGCTGGATGTGAATGAGTTGAATTCACATTTGCCTAGTAAAAAGGGGGTCTTGTTGGGATGAAGAGCCTGCTTCGTGATTTTGTGAAGCCTGGGTCAGAACGTGTACCTGCCTGCAACCTGCAAAGAGTTCCCAGGCATGCAACACACACGTGTCGGTGCCTTTGCAGCCCCCCTGGCAAGCTATTCCCAGCTGTTAGGCGGTGGGTTCCTTGAGGAAGCCTCCAGCTGCAGGGCCAGGCTGGGCCGGGCGCCGCTGGCAGGCAGGGAAGGGCTGTGCCAGAGCCGGTGGCGGAGTGCGAGAGCCACAGCAGAGCAAGGGAAGCGGTGTGGCTCACTCGTCCCGCCCACTATGATTAACAGCCTGCTTTCCACCCCAATTAAATGTCACACATTTTCAGATTTCCTGCCATCTCAATCTCCAGATGCTGCAAATAATATATTTTTTAAAAAACCTCTCATTTGCTTTTTAATAAGCAAGAACTGAGATGTTGGGAGGAAAATCCACCTGGAATTATCACTTGATTGCAGCTGGATTTTTTTTTTTGTCCTTATTAGCTCGGTTCTCACAACCCTCTTAACTAGGTCAATTTGCCAGCCTGGTGGCTCAGCTAATGATGTTGGGGCAGGGCTAAAGGGGGGCTGTTTTGGAGGGAAGGGGGGTTGACAGAGTGTCGCAAACTCAGCCTGGTTCGGGTGAACCTAGGAAACAAGAGGAATTTAAGGCCCGGGCCCAGTGACGTGTGAATCTCATGCCTGCCCTCCATTTGGGAAAATGGCTTGTGTGAATTAGAGGCCCAGTTTTAAAAGACAAACATCTAATCAAGATATTGTTATCTCATAATAAAGTGCAGGCAAGCTTAACTCAATGACTGAACTGACCTATTTTCTAAATACGTTACCAGGATCTATCTGTCAAGGAACCAAATGGGCTGAATTCATTCAATATGCTATACCTATTAACAAACCAACCACAGTTCGTTTTTGTTTTTTTTTAAATTTGGCAGGCTTTG